ATGTTTTTGGAATAGTTGAAATCTGTTAATAATCAGAGAGAATTGGTTAGGAGAGAGAATATGTCTGTTGAAGCCTGTGTGTTGGCATCTTGACTCTTGAGCTAGCTGCTGGCTCTTTACTGTTGTCTGCGATAGCGGGATCTGGAATGCAAAGAACAAATGCAAAACCCGAGGGCAGTATTAAGTTAAATTCACTTTATAACGTGTGTGGGTGTCAAGGAGTTGGCATTCATGCTGTTGTGTTTATTTGAAAGATACTGCTCTTCCAGATTTTTATTTTTATTTTTATTTTTTTTATGTGGATAACTAGAAATCTGTATCTGAGACAATTATATCTGCAGTCTTCACCCAACTATTCTCAACTTTTCTGTGAGCGTGGCTGGGGTCATTGTCGGTATTGTATCTGCAGGGGAAGCGAGACGGGAAGGTGCTTTTTATAGAACTGAGGCCGTCCCTCATTGTTCCTGGGTGATTTGCTTTGGGAAAACGAGATAGTTCTGTGCATTAATATTTAATCTCATCTTAATTCTTAATCAAGTTTGGTGTAACGTGCATTTCTCATGGAGACTACGTATACTCTGCTTTGAGTTTTGGGCCGTTAGGCTCTGTGTTCCCCAAACTTAAAATTTCCTGGAAGTGTCCCGCTTGCTGGACTTCAGAGGCAATGTGTTTAATAAAAAAAAAAAACAACCATCAACGACTTCATTAAAGTGATCCAACATCAGTTACAACATGAATTTTAATAATAAATACTTTTTTAGGAGGAGGAGGGAAGTCAGAATTCCAAACAAGAGGTAGGTTTGTATTTCCAGCAAAAGGGCTAGAAAAATCTTTCTGTCCTGGTGTAGCCTTGTCTAACCCTTGCTGAGCAAAGGCACACAGGTACAGGCCAGTAGTGTTTGAAACCCAAGTGAGGTGGTGTGTTACATGCCTTGTGCTTCTCCCGGTGTTTCAGGAGACACGAGGTACACTCAGACTGTTCCTGCTGACCCGATCTCCGTGTGCCTGTAGGTCCGGGGCTGGCAAATCTGAATGTTGAGAGCGCTGTCGTGTTTGAGGTAGATCTTTATTCCTGGCAAGGATGGCTGGTTCTGAAATGTGCATATCCCCAGGTTTCACTGGAGAACTTGGTACCTGTTGAATTTCACCCATCTAGAAGGTATACGGAGTATTTTACGGGTCATTATCATGGATTCAGGCACCTGAATACCACCCACATGTTTTTGTGGCTATGCACCAAAGTATGTAAAAGTAGAGGAAAGGTCTGATGACAGAGTACTTGTTAGTTTACCAACACATTTGTTGGTAAGAATCCTATGTGGTTTTGGCACAATAGATTTTAGGTAAGTGCTTTTACTGATAGCAGTAGATTGAAGAATAGAAAATTATTAAGAATTTATAGGGCTGAGGAAAATTGTGTTATTTTCACTACCTTTACAACTTCTTCTCCTGCTTCTGTTGTTCTTGTTCTCTTCCCTCACTTCTCTGTTCTGTCCTCCTATTTGTTCTCTCTACCAGCGGGACTAGCCATGACCTTTGAGGAAACGTAGAGTACACGGAGAGGATCTAACATAAAGAAGTGCTGAATGAGACTTGAGGTCTAATGTAATGATGCTGGTGCCTTGGGAAGGTCAAAGGGTCTGGCACTTGCACTGTGTAGGCTTGCAGAAGAGCACAAGAGGATTGGTACTGTGAATGTTTCAAAGCGCAGAGGGTCCAGAAAACTTAGACACTTTTACACTTGTAAAGTGCAAAAATTCTTTATTGTTGGCAAGCAGAAAAATGGTGGCTTGTTTTAAAGTCAATAAGATGATGCAGGATATGGAATTATGAGCTGTGGAAAGTAAGTTGTGAACTGATAAAGGTTTCAGATTCTTTCAGCATTTAAGAATTAATTGGTGTTTGTACACAGTGTTGATTGAATTCCTGTAGGGACAGAAATTTTCATCAAAAAAGAAAATAGGTAGAGAATTACTTAATGTTTTGAGTTGTTAAAATGAACTGTCCCAGTCACTGCTGATCACATCATCTGCAGCCTGCTGGTGGTCTTAATAAGCAGGTATTTATGGGAAATTGTTTCCGGTCAATAATTAGAACTGGCATCCTTCTTGGTGGAGTTTCTAGAAGGCAGATTGAAAAGGTGTGGGAAGGCAAAGTTAGTCTGAAAGAAACGGAATGTAGTTACACGGTTTGGGATTTTTCAGTTGGTCTGATGAGTAAATGGATATATATATATACATATATATATTTGACACGTTAATCCAATCTTGTAAGGAATTATTAGTTGCTGATTTTTGAAAGGAGGGGAAAAGGCAATTTAGATATGGGAAATCTGGGAGTACACTCCCTAGTAAAACACCAGGTACTTCTTGTAACCGAAGGAAGGACAATGCTATGTGTAGTATCTAGACAGGATTTAAGAATCTGGAGTCCTATCAGTCCTCTTTTGTCTAAAAGAAACTATTTAAACCACCATTGTGTTAAAACACATTCCTTGTATTTCATCTAAATGAATTAATATTTCTATGAGTTACTGCAGCTTCTACTCCTAATTTGTCTGATTGAAGAGTATTTTGGAAGGAGATTAGCAGCCCTTTCCGTCTGGCTTGCTGACTTGGGTGCCAAATCTCAATCTATTCCCTGACCTTGGATGAGAAATGTCTGTGCTGTACACCCAAAGGATCCAGGCCTGTTGACCCACAAGGTCAACATGAGCTTAACTTCACATGGTAGAATCTGTTTTTTTCAATAGCTATTTTTAATAATTTCGTTTCAAATTCTAGCTTCCCCTCCATTGTCGCTATAAAGTCAAGAAAGATCATTGCCTAATCAAGGGACTAAAGGGTATGTGGATAGTACTCAAGGATGCGTCATAGTTATATAATAACAGAGGCTCTTGTCCTCACGTAACTGCAGTGTTGGAAAGCGTACAGTGGACGAGACACGGAATTGTAGGAGAAAAGAGTATTTCAGGGGAGATATTTTCAATTGCGGAAGCAAATCATATCCTGACTTAGAACACAGTGCTCCTATAAAATGAGGGGAAAACCATTTTAAATGCAGATTTTCAAGGTGGCTACTAATGGGAAACGTTTCTTTAATGGTTCTGAATTCAAAATCTGATTGTAAGATTTTCAAAAATACAAAGGATTTGCAGCTGCAGTTGAAGTCACTGAACACACACAATTATGTAAAGATGCTAAATCCTCTTGGGGGAAAAAATAAAAAAACACAACAAAGATTTCAAATGGAGCTCTGAAGAAGTGTGCGTTACTGCAAATTATGATCTCACTCTATTTCGGTCTCAATTCTGCATGTTACAAAACTGACCATGGTCCCAGTCCAAAGGAAGGGCATTGGTTGTAATCTCAATGTGTGAAACATTCATATTTCATTTGTTTATTTCAGTAGAAAAATTCACAATGAAACACTAATTTAAGTGTCCAGTAAAAACGTTTGGGAGCCATGTATTGAGAGGAATATAAGGAACCATGGAGGAACTGTGTATTCAGGTTTCTTGGTCCAATGGCACTTCCTTCTCACAGCTTACCAAATACAGCTTTCAGGCCCTTAAAGTTGGAGGCTATAAAATGTTTTAAGCTGCCTAGTACAAGAAGGTACAGATACCAATTCCCTATTTTTTTGTGTGGAAAAAACAGTATGGAATCTCACGGTGAAAGATGGTACTACAGTTAAAATGCATGGTGGAGTGGAATTGCAACTGCATGAGCAATTTTTATTTCCATATTTCTTAACTTCAAAATATATCTGCCTGCGTTTTTGGTTTTGTACTTTTACCTTTTTTTTTTTTTTCACTATAATTTTCTAAAATGCTGAAAAGGCAAGCTGTGCTAGAGGACTGTTCACTGTGTGCTGCATGTACAGTTTTCTCTTTCTGTACTAAATTTTGTTTTTTCAAAATTTTTACTGTATCAGTGTCCACTTCCCTTATTTAGTTCTTGTCTAGTCGCTGAACCCTGTTCATAGGAGTAGTCACAGTGACATGTCATATGGAGGAGGAGATGTGGAGCTATTTTTGTGAGCTTTAGTCTTTTATCTGAAGTTAAGCATCTGCTTAAATTATGAGCCTGCACTCTCCTCCTAGCTAAGTAAGGGACATTGAGGACATCTATTTAGGAACCTGTTTGGTTTCATTGAATGTAAAGGGAAACTGGTCCTAACTTGATATTTAGGACGGATAGGTGCAATTAGAGAGAGAGTAAATATTAGAGAGATGTAAATATTGCCTATGAGTACACATCTCTGTTCTTGGATTTAGTGGAGAGGAATTGCATAGGACATCACCTTGCTCACTCAAATTAAAGCATGTATTTCAGATACAATGTTTTCCTGAAGATGATGGACAAACACTAATCAGTACTATGCAGACTTACTGTATGTATTATCTAACTACTTCTTCTAGCAAGTAAAAGTAAACTTCACTCAGAGTCAAGTTCCTTAGTCTTCCCTCCTTGGTTTTTAGAGTTACGTTGTCTGCAGACACTGACATAATTGTAGTTTCATAAATGCAGAGAAGATTTTCCTTAACCTGTTAGTTTAGGGTGCTGTGTTTTAAATGATGTTACGTGTTTTAAATTCACCTTGAATTATGGTAGGTAATTCGATTGTAAAATAAAAATATAGAAAATAGATAGTAAAGATAATCAAAACACCTTCCTTTGCATTGGTAGTTGAATGTATTGCTGGAAATGTTCTAACATGTTATTCTGTCCAAAGAATTGGAAGCCAGTTAGAAGGAACTGCACTGATTTCAATTTTGTAACGAGAAGTTTTAGATATTTGGCTTTCCCCAGTTTTAATCCTAAATGGAAATAAGCACAAAATACCCAACAAATACTATAAATGCCCAACAAATATTAAGGGAATTCCTTTTAACTCAGGGTAAGACTTTTTTCCTACTGATTTGATGCAGGTTATAAAACTTCAGGGTAGTTGTTTTACAACATGTTGCACTCAGTTGTGCAAACTTATCTTTTTAGGGTCAAAGAAGAGCAAAAACCACAGCTGACACAGTAAGTAAATTATCTTAAAAGTGCAGTAGGCTTGACTTTTCTACCTTTGCCATGTTCTGCTTTCTGCACCTTTGATGGTATTAGCTTACCCTAATACCTGATAGGCTGCAGTTAGTTTGCCATCTGCTTCCTGACTGGCTTGTAAGAGAGCTGCCTGCAGCTTCTTACTTCATCCACATCTCGGTTGGATGTAGGTTCTTGCTGCCTGCTTGTGAACTGGTTAACTGTAAAACTTTGTTTTCCCTTTCCCCCCTTAGTGGCTGATTTAGTACTGCAGCTAACATTCCCATTGGCTCTAGCTTTTCCGCCTGTATATTTTCTATTATCATTGGATAAGAAAACATTTGAACTAGTGTGGTTTTATTGGTTATTCAGTCACATTATTTGCTTATTTAAACAGGTGGTTTCCCTTTAGTGGGATCACTGAGCTGGTAAATAACGTTCTTCAACCACAGCAAAAGCAGCAAAATGAAAAGGAGCCCCAGACGTAAGTAAGCTGCTCTCTGTAGACTAAGTAATGTCTGTATAGCATTAAAACTTACTGGAGAGTAGGTTTATAAGAACTGCCCATTTAGAACATCCTGCTGAAGGCATTTTACAAGCTGACACTGTTTGCTTTCCAACCCTCATTGGCAAAGGGAAAGCTGAAAATCAACTTTGGCATTTTTAACAGTAATTTAAGTGGTTATATTAGAAAACAATCAGAGGAAATACTACTGCTCCATTTGCCTTTTTCTGCAAATGCTCCATACGTGAAACTCTCAGTGAAGTGATGTGTTTTCTGTGCATGCGGAGCTTGAATTATAAGACATGTATTATATATAGCATATCTATGCAAATGCATGGTATTTGTGGTACTGATCATGCATAGAATGCTATACAAATCTATATAATATGAAGACCTCTTAAAGGACCAGGAAAATACCATTTCATTTTTTCATGCTTCTAAAATATCTGTAAAGTTTCAAAACTTTAGCAGATATGAGGTGAAATTTTGGTTCTGTCAAAATTCAGGGGAGTTTTGACTTTGATGGGGCCATTATTTCATCCATGGACCCTCTACAGTGCTAAGCCAGTATGAGAGCTGTGTGAAAAGTTTTACTTTTCTTTCAGTCTGAAAATGTTATGATTTAACAGGAACTGGCAAAGCTAGGACATTCAGTCTTAGAGTGGAACTTAAAGCATGAAGCTAAAAATACTCTTTTCCTAATGAGAAACTAAAAAATATATATCAAATTTTAAGATTTTTAAATGTGACATCTGATATTATTTGAACTTTAAATGGTTATGTATTTTCTTTTTAAGATGATTGTTTTATAATTTCACATTACGAAATAAATGTTTGCTTTTGAACCCATGTGTAAGAGGTTTAAGACATGCATATTATTTGAGGCAGAATCAGTTTTAGTTTATTTTTAAATATGTACAGTTAAGTGGCATTTCATACTTCCAGGGCATGAAAACAGTTTTTTTTTTTTTTTTTTTCCTGAAAATACACAGAAATTTTGACAAAACTGAACAGAGAAATAGGCCATAAAATTGATATTCTGTAAGGCAATGTGTTATTTTGAGCTCTGTGTCTTATTTCCTCACTGAAGTTCTTATTAAATTGTGTATGTTACTAGTAGTGGAGTTTTTCTTTATTGATTATGGTTAGGTATTTGCAATATTAAATTTTGTTCACACCATCTCCTTTGTCTTCCTAATCTTCTCAATGCATCAAAGTTTGTTCTGGTTACCAATATTGTACGTGTGAAGCATATGGCTTTGAAGAAACAAAATACTGTTCTCAATGTAAATGAGTGAGTTATAGTTGCCGAAAAAACACTAATAAATACTGTTATTGTTAAAATTACTGTTATAATGGAAGGATTTTTTTGAACAGCCATTTCTGGGAACCAATTTTCTTTGGTGTTTTTATTAGATAACTAGGAAATGAACTATGCTGTAAACTCATTGAATTTACAGATGCCACAAGGCTGTGAGAAGTATGATATTTAATAGCAGGGTTATATTCCAAAAATATTCTGAATAAAAACAAGCTGTGGTTATGGTGTTATGATGCCATGCAGTAGAGGTCTGATACTATTCAGCAGGATGAATTTGTTAGGTAGGGATAGTTTATGCAGTTGACCTAGGATGGAGAAAACTGTCCAAGTAGAAGTTCTTTGACAGAGAATATGGGAGCCATAATAATATGCCAACTGAGGAAGAGTCAGTATTTGTGAACGATGTAAATGGCATAATGAGATGTATACACAATAGCCTGGATTTGCTGTGAAGAAATGTTTTCACTCTGCTAAGCTTTGGTTATGTCTCACCTGGAATAGTGTGTGCTCTGTTTTGGAAACTGTATTTCAGAAATGATGTGGAGTGGTTAGTGTTCATTGGAGAGTAATAAGAATGATTAGTCATATGTCTAAATAATATGGCATGTACAAAGAAAGATTGAAACATATGAGATGGTTTAGCCTACCGGAGAGAAAATCCCAGGGGATGGAGTTGAACAAATCTTTAATTATGCAGAAAGTTGCTGTAGTTTGGAAGGAAAATTTTCTCTTCTCCTTCCTGCTCGTGTTCAAGCAGAAAGAATTAAACTTAAGTTGTGCCAGGGAGGATTCAGTGATTCAGTTTGTTAGGGAAAACTTTTTAATGGAAAGAAAACTTAAAATGCTTAAGTAATTTGCCTGGGGCTTGTGTGGAAGCTCTGTCACTGAAAATCTTAGACTTGGCAAGGTAAATATCTGTTGTTACAAGAGACCCAAGTGTAGGTGGTTCTCACTAGGACAAGAGAATGGATTAAGTGACTTTTTAAAGTGTCTTCCAGCACTGTGTGTTTGTGATCATATCAAGTAATTGGTTTGTTAATGACTATGATGAATTGTTGTGATTATTGTAAACTTTCACAGAGGAAAATAGAACAAAAATATTAACAGTGCAACTTTTTTATTTACTTTCTTTTTCTGACTTTATTGGATTGCAGAGGACTGTTGTACTTGGGGATCATTGTAACACAGAAGTCTGTATGCCTGAAGACATTTTTACCACTATCTATAAATGTCTGCACATTTTCCACTTGAAATCACTGCCAGTATCTGAGTCTGTAATGGATTTTAAGATATGTCTGGCTGTCCAATTTCAATGATGGAAACCTTATTTACAGTTAATCTGGGGAGGACAAAATGTGTGAGAAGGCAGAGAAGGAATCATGCTAGTGGTTCAGAATGTAAGGTATCGTGTTATAAAATTCTGTTTTGCTCTCAAAGTATTTTTGAGGCAGGAATAGTTTGAAATCCTTTCGACATGAATTTTTTATCACAGAACCACAGAATGTTTGAGGTTGAAAGTTCCCTCTGGATGTCTTGTCCAACCCCCCTTGCTCAAGCAGGGACACCTAGAGTCACTTGCCCAGGACCATGTCCAGAAGGTTTTTGAACATCAGTCTCCAAGGAGGGAGACTCCACAACCTTTTGGGGGAACCTCGTTGTGCCCAGTCACACTCACAGTTAAGTGCTTCCCGATGTTTAAACATAGCCTCTTGTCGTAGGGTTAGTACCTATTGCCTCCTGTGCTGGCACTGGGCACTACAGAGGAGAGCCTGCCTCTGTCCTCTTTGCACCCTCCTTTCAGGTATTTATGGACAATGATGAGACCCCCTTGAGCCTCTTCTTCTGGGCCTGAACAGACCCAGCTCTCTCATCCTTTTCTCATACTGTTATGCTTTGCTGGGCTCTCTCCAGTGTGTCCAGGTCTCTGCTGTACTGGGGAGCCCAGAACTGGACACACTACTCCAGGTGTGGCCTCACCAGGCCTGAGCGGTGGGGAAGGATCATCTCCCTTGACTTGCTGGTGATACTTTGCTTAATACAGCCCTGAATACCACTGGCCTTCTTTGCCCCAAGGGTACGCGTTGTTGCCTCCTGTTCAACTTGCTGTCCAGCAGAAGCTCCAGGTCCTTTTCTGCCAAGCTGCTTTCCAGCTAGGTAGGGTCCAGCCTGTGCTAGTGGGGTTGTTCTTCTCCAGGTGCAGGATTTCGCATTTCCCCTTCATGAAGTTCCTGTCAGCCCACTTCTCCAGCCGGGCTAGGTCCCTCTGGTGTATCTGCCACTCCTCCCAGTTTTGTGTCAATCCACATTGCATCAGTTCATGCAGCCCATAGTTCATCAACTTCTGTGTGAGAATCTTGTGGCAGATGGTGTCAAAAGTCTTCCTGGAGACAAAGTAGATGGTATCCATTGCTCTCCTCTCATCTATTAAGCCACTCATTTCATCACAGAAGTTCATTAAGTTGGTCAAGTATGACTTCCTCTGTTGAAATAGTTTCCAGGATGAGCTGTTCCATCAGCTTCCCAGGGACTGAGGTGAGGCTGCCCGGCCTGTGGTTTCCCTGGGCCCTCTTTTGTGCCTTTCCTGAAGGCAGGAGTGATATTTGCTTTCCTGCAGTCTTTGGGCATTTGTCCCAGGTGTCATGATGGATCAAAGGTTCAATATTGAGAGTGGTCTTGCATATCTGGTCTTCCTTGATAACGAATATTTTTATCTCCAGCTCCTGTGTACCTCATCATGAGTTTTGCCTGCATTGTTCAAGGTCTTTCCATGTTGGCATCCTTACAGAGTTAGGGATCCTAGCTGCCTTCTGAAGAAATTGCTTCAACTGTTGAGCAATTGCTCAACAATTAGCCTGTCAATTTTTGTTTCTTCACATATATATGGCATGTATTTTGTAAAAGGTATATGTGGATTTTTCTTCATTAGGACTTGCTGATGTTCTTTGTGCCTAAGCGCTTCACTTAAAGTTTATATATCCTTTTTTTTTTTTTTTAAGGACCCTGGAACGTTATGTGATTGTATTAAGCTCCAGTCAAAATAGAGGTATTCCCATAATCTGTATTGGCAATGCCCAGCAATGGATATTTAAGAACTCACATATGGAGCAGGGCATGCAGAGAGTAATTTTGGTACAGCCACTTGGCTGTGTTGTAGTGGTTTCCTGAGGTGAAGGCTGCATACATATTGCTGCATTTATTTCATAGCCATTAGGAATCTCTCTGCCATAAGCATTTTCAGTCCCATTTGAAACCTATTTATATTTTTGGCTTCAGAACTTGGTGAAATGAATTCTGCAATTTAATTAGGTGTTGTATAGGAGAGTTGTGACCTTTTGTCTGCTTTAAACCTGCTGCCTATTAATTTTATTGGGGGAGTCCTTCTTGTGTTATGTAATTCCTTAGATGCTACAGTGGCTTAGGAAAGACAGTTTCTTAATATTTGCTGCTTAAAGATATCCAAATACCCAAAAGATTTTTATTTTTTTGATTGCTTTCCCCATGAATGTTAAAGCTTATTATTAAGGGCATCATCCAAAAACCCCTTGAACACTGACAAGCAAGGGGCATCAGCCACATCTCTAGAAAGCCTGTCCCGGTGTTTGACCACCCTCACAGTAAAGAAATTTCTCCTGATGCCCAGTCTGAACCACCCCTGGTA